TGCCATAGGCTTCCCCTGGAAACACAGTTGAGGCCTCTTGTGTTTCCATGTCACACGTGGCACCGCCCCGAGATCATTTGCCATCGTGACATCTTCCTTCTATGCCCAGTGCTCTCACCACTGGGCATGGACCAGAGCTGCTTCTAGGGCTCTCATTTTAAGGATGCTTTGCCCAGTTCCAAAAAAAGCACAGTTTCTCACTTTTGGGACACCAGTCCCCCCCAAATTCAACCCCTGGGGCCGAGGGGTCTCGAGAACAGAGATCTTCTCCTTCCCTAAAGACAGAGGGCACCAGCACCCTCCTCACCTGTCACCTCTGTTCATGCACTCCTTCACATCACATCACTGCACTCTCTTGGCTCCAAGCCATTGCCTCCCCCTAAGTGCAGTCTCTGTGTCACAGGAAAAATGGTTCTGTCCATGGCTATACAAGAAAAGTCCAGCCAAAGGCCACTCCATCATCTCCTCCCACCTAAGATTCTTCTCAATTTCTCTCGTGGCCCATTTCCTCTTATCTCATCTTTATCTCTCTTCTCATTCAACTCCAGGAGGATCCTCATTTGTAAGGTTTCCATCATGCAAGAAAAGGGTTTAAAATCTCAGGCTCTGCCTGTCCAGAACTCCCCCCCCCCCCCCCCTCCTCCTTGGCCGGCTGTGCTATCGAATTTCAAGGTGGCACAACTGGCGCTCTCTCCCTCTGTCTCTCTCTCTCTCTGGTGTGGCTGCCCGATGCCTCTGGATGCTCCTCCACCTTTCCATCCTGCCGGGGCCTTCCCCTCCCCTCTCTGCCCCAGGCCCACATGGCTTCCCCTCCCTGCCCAGGCCGCAGCCACCAGGGCAGCTCTCACCTCTTTCACCAAGGGAACCCAAGAGAGCTTCCCCTGGGAGTGCTCTGCTTTTAACCCCCTGTGTTCTCAGAGGCGTATCCGTGTCCTCAGTGGCCACACCAGGTGCCAGTATTCAAATCTGAGCACCTATTGGTTTGACCACAGCATCCCAAAAAAACTCAATTCCTTTTCAAACCAGGACACATGCTCTGCACAGTGTCCATTAAATGTACTTTAATACACAAAACTCGTTTTTTTTAGTGGAGTACCTTTACATCTGGTGCTTTTTGTTTTGTTTTTTCTCCTGGCAAACAACTGTAGGAGGCTTCCAAAGAGCAAGAATAACTTTATTCATATCCTATGAGAGGTTTCATAAGCATGTAAGAGGATGGGACATAATTATTTACAATATGTCTGTCTCACCCTCCTGTGGCCTTCAGTGGCTGAGAATAGTGACAAAAATTGGTTGTCCCTGCAATGTTGTCATAGTATGTTATTGTGTGTTCTGGTTTTATCATCGCAGTGGTTTCATTGTAACTGCTGTGCAGATGACACTTAAAAGTGTTAATATTTTCTTAGGCCTCCAGGATCACCAAGTTTCCAAGCCAAGCTTTGATACAAATGCAGTTGTTAGGGCGTACTGTCATGGAAATGTGAAATTTGAGTACTCTTTGTTTCCACTCTTTATTAACACACGCTTCATGGAAGGTTTGATATTGTTCACTCCCATTCTGCAGCACTAGAAAAAGTGGAAAAGTTGTAGCATATTTCCATAAACCAAATAGAGTCTAAAGTGGCAAACATTTGTTCACAATGGGTATTTAATTAGTTTTCTGATAAAAACTAGAAGAGATGAAACTTCAACCTTTTTATGGAAGAGAAAAGCTATAAAGATAAGTAAGTATCTTGAGAAGATTTAATAGGAAGCTTGTCTATTTCTACCCAAAAAATTACATTCCTTAGGCTAGTTTATATTCTCCTAAGTGACACCAAGACTATCTACTGTTTGAGACTGTAATAAGTGATTAATATATTCATCATCTATTTCCTATTGCTAAGATAAAACACACATCAGTTTTATCTAGGGAAAACATTTGACACAAATTAGTTGCACGGGAGGAAATAATTGTTACTCAATGTGGCCTTTTTTGCCTGGCTGAGGTGGAGCTTCCTTTGCTCCTGTGGAGCATCTTGGAGTCTGCAGGCTCTCAAAAGTCAAAGTATTCCCTGAGGATGTGCAATATCAGATGTGCATTGCAGTCAAAATGAAGTTATCTTATAGTTCAGACATTCATGAATGGATAATCTGGAAGTTAGCAAGCAAATTCTGAGCTGTTTAATCTTTGTAGCATTTTCTTCCATGTTTCCCTTAAAACCTTAAGACAGTAAGCCTAATGAAACATTTATTTGACTTTCACTGAGTCTGGGAAAATGTTCCTTCTTTTCTTCAGGGGATGAGTTGACCAAAATAGAGAATGAGGATGAGCAGGGCTGGTGCAAAGGACGCCTGGACAATGGACAAGTTGGTTTATACCCAGCAAACTATGTGGAACCAATCCAGTGACAAAGGACAAAATAAACACAGAAGTGTCACAAGAGCTCTGTAGGCCTGTACAGTGTATTTAGGTGAAGTGAGAGGAAACTGAATGGATGTATAGAGTGTAAATATTTTAATGAAATATGGGAGCTTGATACCCAAATAAGGCTGAATGAAAGACAAAAGCTTGACTTTGTTCTCACACCTTGTACCCAATGCAAAGGAAAGGAGTAAGGCTGAAAAAATAGTATGATAGGAAAAATACTTTTTAAACTTTTTCTTCCCACATGGTCTGTTATTGTGGATCCTAAACATTTTTGCATTTTCTATGCTTATGCCTCATCCTACCCCAGGTATGTGGCTTACGCTCACTTTTGTTTAATCAGTTATTTTAAGTGACCTTTCAGTAACTTGCAACTTGAATTTTAAAGATTGATAAGAACAAATAAAGAATTAACTATAATAATGTCTGAAAGATGCAGTATTTTTTTATTTAAATGCTATGTAGTTAAGCACCTTTTTTATGCTTTATCAATTAATACTTAAATTATGACATAGATTTAGTTACCACTTGACTGAATGAAAGCTTTTTCCATGTTGTAGTAATCTTTCTGTGTTGTCAGCATGGCTTGAAGTTGTAAATGGAGTTGTAAAACAAAATTCTGTGTTTAATAAATATCTGTTACAGAAGGTTATTTGTAGCAGAGATACCTGCAGGTGTCATGGGTTGGAATTCTATTACAAATGTTCTTTATGTGGGTTGACACTTGAACTAAGAGTTTTCCATCTAGATCTTAAGTGGCATTCAAGAGAAATATGAATTATGCATAAGCCGCAGAAGAGTGGCTATTTCCAGCACATGTTTGCAGGGAAAAAAAATCTCCTTTTAACTGCTAATGATTTTTGGGTGATTTGAAATGTTAAATCTGTGAAGGCTGATTATCTTGAACAGAGAAGACTGTAAAATAGACTAAATGCTTTTATTAATAGCCTATCTATGTTGTGTATATGTACATATAATTTGATATTCCAAAATATGAAGAGCATGGCTATTAGTTATCAAGCCTTTTGGTGTCAGTAAGATTTAGACTATTTTAAGAGTTTAAATTATAGGTATATTTAAATCTGCTTTCCTGCCATATTCATTACTGTACCATAGACAAAGTATTCTGTGATAAGATTTTTCAGAAATACAGTAAATACACTAATATACTCAAAATCAGTATTTGTGGATAAATTAATGAGTCAAAGTATAAACTAGCTTTAGTCCAAACATGGATTATTGTAGCAGAACACTGTAAAATCTACATTTGTTTGCAGTTACAACTTGGCCAGCTGTAGTTGTGTCAAATACTCACTTGTGACATTGAAAACTGGGTTGTAAAACTACAGCAGATCTGTGTTAAAGCTAAGTATCAGGTAAGTAGATATGCCATGTTAGGAAGCTACACTGTAATGAAGTTAACAGATCTTTTTTGAGGTAACTATAAAACACTGTTGGTAATCTTGGACCCTATCATTTTTGAGCTTATAGATATATTTAGTCATTATTTTCAGTGAATCCAAATGTGCAAGCTTAGAAAGTGGATGTATGTATATGTCTGTCAACAAAAACTTACCAACATATTTGTTCAGCCACAGGACAGTTGCTAAAATTGTCAGGAATTACTGGTTTGGGTCTCTGTGTTGTAAAATATTTTAGAAAACAATAAAGTCTGTTAATCTCTTAAATACACAGAATGCACCTTTTACTATTTCAATGTGTGTCAAAGCACAAATAATCTGTGCATTTCATTGCAATTCATAGTTGCAAAACCTGCATTGTGTAAAAGAGCCACAAGCAGGAGTGTGACATGGGTGACATTGTGCCATTTACAAAAAAGGGAGGTGCCATGCACAGGAATTCTTGGCAAAACATTCCAGCAAAATCTTCATGGAAGAAGAGAAAACTGTCTTTTATGGGTAACAGAGTCCACTGTGATGCTGCTTTCTGTGATGTTGTCAAGCCTCAGATAGTGTGGGTGAGCAGCTGAGCTTTTTATTTCTTCTTAAATAAAGTATCTGAATATTTTCTGCCTTTGAGTTTTCTTGTTGACTGGCAGTGATTAATGTCATGCTGTTTGTGACAGCTGGCTGAAGGTTTTCTGTCATCTCCTGCATCAACACCTGCTGGGCAGCAGATCCCAGAGGAGCACGAGCACTGGCACAGGGTCTGTTTGGAGGCCTGGCACCAGTGGTGTCCCCAGGATTAGCTGTTCAATATATTCCTCAGTGCCTTGGGATGGCTCAGTGGTGGCACAGAGCTGGGAGGAGCAGCCAGTCCCCCTGGGGCTGCACAGCCCTTCCCAAGGGCCTCAGCAGGGTGGAGAGATGGGCAGAGGAGCCGTCTGAAATGCAGAAAAGGAAATGCAGGGTCCTGCACTGGGCAGGAATAACCCCGGGCACCAGGACAGGCCGGGGGTCACCTGCTGGAGAGCAGCTCTGAGGAGAAGGGCCTGGGGGCCCTGGTGGGCAGAGAGCTGTCCCTGAGGGCAAGGACACCTGTCAGAACTCGGTAAGGGAGTTTTGCAGGTGTTTCACACTTCTGTCATCCTGAGTCACTTACTAAGTAATCAATAAATAATCAACTGCCACCCTTCTACTTAAGGTTTATTAAATCTACAAGTCCATTCAGGAATCCCTCTGGAGGACACACAGGTATCCTCTCACTTTATTACTGTAGTCAGTAAGTGATTAAATGTTCATTTAGTTCATAGCAGTTTACTTCAGCTTCTGTGAAGGACATTAGCAAGAACTCTTTGAACATCCAAGTTCTTTGTTATCTTGTTACTTGTTACCTCAGCTAGATCATCTTGACACGTGAAATCTCCAAGCCTGCAAGGTAAAAGACCAGATCACTTGTAAAGCACAGTGGTGATAGACAGAACACTGGAATCTGACTGCCCTGGCAGAGATAAAACATGGCATAAGCAGGTGGGTTTTGCAGTGGGGTGCTGCATGCAGCTGGGGCTTTGTGAGTCTCTTTTAAATCCCAGTAAATAGCAAGAGTTGGCTTTGCACTGGGCATGGTGTTAGGATGTAGACCCTTCCCAGAGAGGAGAGCTCCATGAAACCTCACCTGTTTGAAGTCGTTATGCTTCATGATATTATCAGGACAAACACTGCATTAGTACTAAATAAAAAAATTGAACTGTTTTCATCAATTGGTTTTTAATGTAGATCTTAAACTTCATTTCCATGTGCTGGGAGAAACATTTGAATGCTTCATCTTTCTCTTCTAGGGAAGGCTTTTTCTGTATGAATTATTTATACTGCAGTGACACATCTGTGGCGGCTGTCCCTTTGAGGTCACCATTTGCAGAGCGCAGGCCTGAAACCTGCTGAACTGCAGTTGTCATGAGGCAACATATTTACAGCATGGCTGTGAGCAGGGAAAAACTTTGCTCTGTGTGACTGAGCATCAAGGAGCAACAGGCAGAATTTGTACTTACCTAAGGGACCCTTTGGCTCTGAAAAGCAGTGAAGATGTAGCTGGCATGGCCTGGGACTGTACCTATATCCCACCATTTCTCAGCAGCACCATGAGGGGAAACCAAACAAGGAGGGAGGCTTGAGAGTAACTGGGAAACAGCACTGATAGAATTTTACAGAACTAAAAGCTTTGAGTATTGGAAATAGCAGCAAATGTTTTGGACCTTTGAGAAAGTAGCTGTTCACTGAAGCTGTAATGGCACTCAACTCCAGGCAGATGCAAGTGCCAATTCCTGGTTACCAAATCAGCCAAAGAACAGACTCTTCTCAGGAGATCATCCCAAGTGGTTCTCCCTTGTATTTCTATGCCCTGGCAGGGCTGTCTGGCCAGCTGCAGGAGCCCAAGCCTTGCTGTGGCAGTTGGATAGGTGAGAGTAGGAGAAGGTTACTTTTTCTGTGCTTCATCAGCTCATGGAGGAGTCCTTGTGCCCAAAAAAAGCCCAAATAATACAGGAAGAGCCCCTCCATTTCTGAATAGCTGTGCAGAAAAGGGGATTAGCACAGGATCAGTCAGGGAGGAAGGGCTTCCAAATGTCTTCAGTCCCATCTCTGGCTCAGCACTGAACTTGGGACAGGTTGCTGAATATTGCTGACAACCCAGGAGAGAGTGTGCACAGCTGCTGTGGGCAAACTGCTCCAGTATGTGACTGTCCCCATCATGAAACCGACTCCTCTTGGTATCAGATTGGAGCTGTGCTCTGGGTTAGTGTGAATTCAGAGCCCTTGGCTTCCGATTTGCAAACCAGCACCCCCCATCACACTCTGGCAGTGAGTTGCTCCCATTTACACGTGATTAGAGGGCTCCTAATGCAGGGCAGGCTGCACTTGCCAGGTGAGTATTTGTGAGCATACACACTTAACAGTGCTCCTCCATGTATCTGTTTGTCAGACCAGCTGGCATGGAAGCAATTATTAAAGTGTTCCCTTGTGCTCTGGGAATACAAATATGTCTTCTGGCCATTCTTGGAAACCACCAGCAAGATGTGGTATTGCCACACTGAGGTACAATTGGCAAAGTAGCTCTTGTGGGCAGCTTTCCCACCACTGCAGCTGCTCTCTCTCTGTGCCGTCCCTCTTTCTGCGCTCCCTTCAAATCACAAACTTGCTGAAGAATGAGACACCCACGTCTATTCCCTAGAAAAATTCATCACTTTCGAGGGTTTATTCTGTTGGCTTCCTTTAGATCAGTTTGCTTCTCCCCTGGGGCTGGACATTCACCATTTGGGGGAGAATAGGATATGGGGGGTATTTCCAAAATGTCTTGAACAAATTGGTGTTCATTCTCATGGCAAGGGAAATGACAGCACAACACACCATGGATAGTACCTGGGAAGGAATCTGTGGGCCTTGGATTGATTTTGTCAAGATGAAACTCTGCTGAGAGTTTAGGACATAAACGGTATCAGGCCAGGGGAGCCAGTGATGCTCACAGTGCTGGTCTGCTACTGGGTCTGAGTAAGAATCTGCACTGCTCACCAAATAAGAGAACACTCAGTACCTAATCCACAGCCACCCTTGAAGGTAAGTTGTCCGGTTTGGGAGTTTTTTGTGGTTTGGTTGTTTGGATTTACTTTGGGCTTTTTTTCTATTTACTCAATGTGCAGAGGAGCCAGTGAATTGTAAATACTGCCTTTTCCTTGCTGGAGATGGACCAGCTCATCCCTTCCTTCATGTTCTCCATTCTCTATGTTACCTGTCTTCCACAGCCTGGAGGCTGCTCTGTGACTGCAGGACCTGCTGAGCTCCTTCCAGTTCACAGACAGAGATGCTTTTATTCCATCTTGTCCAGAACTCATCTCCTGGCAAGGAAGGTGCTGCAGAGTGGAGACTGGGGCCAAAGCTTTGGAACTGGTTACTTAGACAGCTGGATGGCCCAGCCTGTGGAGGGGAGGGGAACCCAAAACTTGTGCTTGCAATTGGGTAGAAGGTGTAACAAGGAAAGAGCCCACCACAGAGAAGATATTTTGCAAACTCATGAAATTCAGTGGCACTGAAGAGACCAGGTAAGGCCACTGTAAGGCCACTGTGATGCTTTTTCTGTATTGGTATCAGAAAAGAATTAGAAAGTGTCTCCCACACCTGGTGAGGGTGGAAAGCCTGAGGATGGAGAGCCTCAGACAGTTCCCCTGCACTGAACTCACCCCCATGCAGGACTCTCCAAGCTGGGTTGGTACCTGTGGTTGCTCAGGCAGGTCTATCTCTTGTCACAGCAGATTTCACTCGGGAATTTAGTGCTGCTATCACCAAAGCCACCTCAGCACATTGTGTGCTGCCACTGCCAGGGGGTCAGTGGGACAGAACCAGCTCAGGCACAGAGAACTCCATTGCACTGCAGGGAAGCCTTGCTGGGCTGCAGAGAGGAAGGAGAGTCAGAAACATCAGCAGCTTTGATCTCACAACTCTCACATGAAGGAATTAATTCTGTATTGTTCATGTTACAGACAATATAGCTCACATCACCAACTTCAGAGAATATTTCTTTTGACTTGTTAAGCATCTTTAAGGGTAAGACACATTTAAGTAAATACAATATACCATGTGCATTTAAGTTGATGGTAAGTTCCCCAAATGGCACTTTGAAGAACTGAGATAATCTCGCCTCAGTTACACATTCCATCCAAATTTTGATACGGATTGTCAATTTATTATTTTAAAATTTTAGTAAAGATACATTTTAGTTGCATACTGCAAGCTTAAGTGATTATGTGGTATCTAAATTGCTGAATTAAATAATTCTGCTAATTAGATTTAGTACCAACTGTCCCCTCTCTTGTGGCATGTTAAAAAATTCCTTGCCTAGCTTAATGATTGTGTTCATTCCTGAATGGTGAGGTGGGCTTGTAACCTTTTTGAGAGTTCATAATTTTTGGTTGTTTATCTTTTGCACGTGGTAGGAAAAGCCTTGAGAGGTGATTTGCCTCAGAGTACTCCTGGAGAGCAGGTTACAGTCCTGTCCTGCACAGTGCCAAGAGTGACCTGTGGCCCTGTGGCACTGCCACCCACCCCCCTGAGGGCAGGCACTGCTCCAAGCTGCTGAATCAGGCACAACTCTGCTTTAACGGTAGATGAGAGTTTTGGACTCTGAGATGAGGTGGGAAAATTGGTCACAGGACCAGAACACACAAGTACAACTCTGAAAATGCTTTCCACTGACTGAAAGTGCTTTGCTTTCAGGTGGGTTTGGGTTTGGTTTTTCTTTTCCTTTCCACCTCACCAGCCACATCTTTAGGGCAGATAAACACTAAAGTGCTCATAAGGAAATGTGCTTTTAAAATTCTTATTATTCACTAAAGCTCATAAGAAAATGAAGCATTTTCCAATATTGATATGCTAACAAGACATTTCCTGTGTGCACCTGAGCAGCAAGAGCCAAGGCCCCTGGCCCTGCTGCAGAATGGGAAGTCCAGGTTTGCTGCTCTGTACTTGAGGGAGAGCTTGGGAGCCACCTCCTGGAGGATTGTGCCAGAGGGAAGCAGATGCCGTCCTCCTCAGGGACAGCAAGACGGGGAAACACAGACCTGCTGGGCTCCCTCTTCCACCTTTCCATTCCATCTCTGCTCCTTGCCCTCCTCATTGCTCTTCCCAAGTCAGGAATGAGTCCATAAGGCCCTTGCACCTTATGGTGGGACCACAAAACCGACTTGGCCTGCAGAGACGGCTTGAATGGCTCTGTCTGTACATAACACAAACATAAATGTACAGAAATGGAGGCCAAAACCCAATGGCTTTGATATTTCCCTGCAGCTGTCCAGGCACTTACACAACCTTCAGGGCAGGGTTTGCCATTCAGCCACAGCCCCTGCTCCTGCACTGTCACCTCCAGTTCACATGCAAACCTCGAGCCCAGCCCCACAAGGATCTCCTGTAATGCACACCTTAGCCTGGTATTCATATTTAACACTCCTCCAGAGCCCTGCTGATCCCCAAACTTCAGAAAGCACCTGGCAAACAAAGCCACCTCCCCAGCAGAGAGCAAACAGAGCCTGGTGGCAGGAGACAAGACACTGCTGGTATTAAATACCTGTCTGGGTATGCCAGTGCATTCCTGCTTTAGACACTGCAATTCATGTTTTAAACAGGCACAGTGCAAAGTGCAGGTCAGACATCACCTGGGCAGCAGATATTCGATTTTTACTGAGGCTGGGAGGGGCACAGAACTGTGTGAGTGATGGTTGTCAGTGAGGGGCTTAAAGAGCTGCCATCACGGAGACTTCCCCTGCCATTCAAGAGCTTTTTGATTGGCCTAGTTACAATTTCTCAGCCCTAAAAGAAAATTGAGTGATTTTATATGAGTTTGAAATTAGCTCAGCTCTAAGCAGAGAGTGGAACGTGTTGACTTTCCCCTGCAAATTTTTCTGAGGCACTCAAGTGGTGATGATTGTGAAAAGGAGAGGAAAATGATCAACAGGATATATTTAGACTTCTAATGTATTTTAATTGCAGTAACTATGTTGATTCTCTGTTCATTATATAATAATTTTGATAATTTTCCTTGCACTTTATAAAACTATGATCTGTGCCATAGCTGGAGCATGATGGTACATGGGATAATCAGAGGGCATTTATGAGGTGAAAGGTGGATCAGAGAGTTCTGCTCCCCAAGGTTTGGCTTTGTATCAAAGTGTACAGGTTGGGCTTTGACCACCACACTGGCTCAAGGTCCCAGGACGATTTTTCTCTGTAAAATTCAATTTATTAATCCAAATGCTGCCCAGAGATTACTGGGGATGAGTAGGCGCTCAGTTCCTCAGCTGGCTGTGCTCATTGCACTCTTCCCTTTCTCCATCAGCTGTGGTGCAGCTTCTGGACCACCCCCAGCAGCTGCTGCTGAGGAGTTCACCTCACACAGGTGTGTGATCCTGCCTGTGGATTGGGTGCTGTGCCTGCTACTCCTCCTTGGGGAATCTTTGTGGGGTCAAAGAGTGAAAATATGAATTTACGGGGCAGAAGTGCTGGTGTTTCCTGCGTGCCCAAAGCACCCAGGGAAACAGGCATGAGACAAAGCAAAAAGGGCTCTCCAAGAAACCATTCCTGTGGGCATGGAAACAGGGCATGGCACCAGCACGGGGAAGTCTCTGCAGTGAAAGGAGAACCCACCGGCCGTTTGCCAATTACAGGTTGGATTTTTTTCCTTATTCCCTATCCTTTAGTGCCATCTACTGGCTCTGACTGAATGGCTTCTTCCTTGGCCCTGGAGTAAATACCTTTGGTGAACCCTATATTCACTCAAGAACTACAAGTTTTGGCAAGGGACCCTCAGAGATGGCTTTGGGGATGAATTAACTGAGAAACATAATTAACTGAGAAACATAACACTTGTGGAATAGTAAGCTCAGACCATAACTGGGAAGAAATAATGGACAAAGAAATGAGAAGATAATTCTGAAAAGGCAGCCCTTAAGTATTGCATTTCAGTCTTTTGAAAACAAGTAATTTTGAGTTTGTTTGTTTGTTTGTTTGTGCATTTATTTTGAAGGAAAGCTTTTGTTTGGAAAACAGACCCCCAGAACCTTCCCAATGTTTCATTTTAAACAGGTCTATATAAAAGGGGACAAAATGCATCTTGAGAGTACATTACATTTTTGTGGCCTTACCTGCAGCCAAGATTAGCAGAATGACTTCAAGAAAAACCTCAAAGCTCTCTGGGAGAAGGAAAGAAACTTCTTGCTTGGACAAGAGTATCCTGCAATCTGTTTCTCTCCAAATGTGCTGTCAGGGAATAACACCCTGCAGGTATTGGCTGTTTCATGGCTCCAGGAAACTGCAGGTAATATTACAACTATCAGTGTCCTGTAAAGGGTCAGATGGGTATTGAGTCAGGCAAAAATCATTCATTCATTCATTCATTCATTCATTCATTCATTCATTCATTAAAAAATCAATCATTCCTCAAAATCTTTGATTTTGCTGTTGATATGAGAAGGACCTTTATCATGGTTGGGCTTGACAAATGTCCTCTCCTCTTGCACACAGTTTCTGGGCAAACCCACCTGCACACACCAATGCTCCTGCTCCCAGAACAGGAAAGGACAGAAGGCTCCAAGTGCAGCCCTTCCATGTTGCTGCCACACAGCCAAGTCTTGAACCACAGCTGCCAGCAGGTCCCTTCTGCCAGGAACAGAACAGTGGTGGCCTCCCAGGGCAGGTACCATGTGAGACAGGATCATTGGTTTTATTCCAGTACATCCTTTCCCAAGGAAAGCACTGGAGCTGAGCTGAGCATTGGATGACACCCATGTGGAACAGATCCTCCCACTCCTTTGTCCCAAGTCCAATGGCAAAGCATGGAATAACTCACAAACAGGGCCTGGAATTAAAATGGTTCTGTTAAAATTAGGCTAAGAATGCAATAAGAAAAAATGGGAATCCTTTTTGTGTATGAAAAATGTAGGGAAAAAATATTGGAAAAGGGCACTTTTATTTGGTGCCACCTCTCATTTTTTATGAATTAAACCCTATAGTGAGCAAACAGAAGAGAAGTGGGAAAGCCAGGAGCCTTTGCTTTTCACAGTGGACTTAATTTCCATTTTCTCTTCTCTTTCAGGACAGGAAAAAGACTTAACTCATCCCATCTTTGCCAAGAACTTTGGTGTTTGAGCAGCCAAACCCAACAGGCTCCAGAACAGCTGGCCAGTACTGGGGGGCCCAGTCCTGCCTGTGGTGTGGGGTGAGTCCCCATTTGTCCCCAGAGTGTCCCAAATGGGAGGGATCTGCCCTGGTTTCAGGCTGTCCTTGCCCTGCTCCCTGCAGCCCCCAAAACCTGGGACACAGAGTCCAAAGGGGCTCCTTGTCAGGAATGTGGTGGCAGCCCCGGGAGCAGTGGGAGATGAGGACTTGGGGCAGTGTCTGCGACTGATCCAGGGTAGGGCAGTGCTTATCTGGAGAGGTTTGGCCCCACACACTGAGTTTCAGCAGGATCACAGATGCTGCATTTTGTGCATCCTGGGATTTTCTGTCCCTGCTGGAGACTTCCTGCTGGGATGTGGCAGCACAGGGAGCAGAATTAAACCTGCAGCTCCTGTGTGCATTGCTGGCCTTTGTCTCCCTGTGGTGCCATCAAACCATGGGAATTTGCTGCTGTCACTGCCACCCCAGCTGGGGGCTGTGCCCTCCTGCAGCCCTTGCCAGCCCCAACACAAGCTCCAGAGGTGCCTCTGTGCCATGTTGGGAGTGTTTGCTGGGAATGTGCCTCATCCCTGGGAGGATCCTTTTGTTCCTGGGTGGCCACACAGAGCTTTTGGGCTTGTCAGCTTCAGTTTGAAGGCAGAAGTCACTGGAAGGGAGAAGGACGAGGAGGTTGGTCAGAGTGGTGCTGTCAGACCCCACCTGACAGTCTGTGCTTGGTGTGTGAGGTTGTTGTGCATTTGCAATGCAGGGAATGAATGTCCCCTTCCCAATTCAGCCCAGCAGATCCAAGGGCTCTTACAGGAATATTTATCCCTTACTTCCCTTTGTGACAACTTCATCTACACCCCACCATGAGCAATTCCTTGATTTCTTCTGGAGAAAACCTCGTGGCAGAAGCTGCTTGCAGGAGCCCAGAGTTGTGTTTGGAGCAGGGAGTGCTGAGAGCTGCATCTGCCTGTGCTGCCCCAGCCTGGCAACCTCCTCATGGAACAGCCTGGGCAGATGGGAATAGCAAAATCCCTTCCTGGAAGGGGTTTTCTCCTATGCAAAACAGGCATGGGGCAGGAAGCAAACTTTGGAAATCAGCAGAGTTCCCCCAGAAAGCATCACTCACATCATAATGACTAACATGACTGGTGCCCACTGCTCAGGATTCACCCAGCCAAAATCAAGAGCAAAGACTGGTCTGTGTTTGAGAACTTGAAATAACTTTGAAACAGAATAAATCACCCTTTTCTTTCTTTCTTTCTTTCTTTCTTTCTTTCTTTCTTTCTT